ATAATTTAACCACCTCATCAGTCATCAAGGGACGCGCGGAGCCGAGGTGAACCTTCCAACCACTCAATTGGGTGGTGCTCCAACAGTGTGTGTGTGTGTGTGTGTGTGTGTGTGTGTGTGTGTGTGTGTGTGTGTGTGTGTGTGTGTGTGTGTGTGTGTGTGTGTGTGTAGTGGGCGCATGGGGGGAAATAACAGCATTTGAATGATGGGTGTGACAGAGGCTGATGTGAGCTCAGGGCCCGTGTGGCTCCAGTAATAAAGATACTGTGGCTCAAATTGGTTTAATTCTGTCTTAAATGCTCCTTAATCTCTCCGTAAATGACGTCTCTGGCTCCCAGTAAGGAAGGTGAAAAATTCAAACTGTTGGTGCCAGTGCAACTGGGATTTCAATGGTTGTGTCAATAGAGAAAAAGCTGCTGGGCTTTAATGTCAAGAGAGCTCTTTGTATTTTCATTTTTTTTAATATTACATTACATTACATGTTACTTGTTAGACGCTTTTATCCAAAGCGACTTACATACTCAATGCTGTGGACATTCACCAAAGGAGCTATTTGGGGTGAAGTGTCTTGCCCAGGGATACAACGACATGCTGACTGCAGTGGGGTTTGAACCTGTAACCCCTTGATCCAAACATTCAGATATGATACACAGCACATACTTATCTTGTGGACACAGCATTACAGTAGCTCTCAGCTCTTAAGTGACATGGAAAATGATAATGTTTGTGTCCTGTGAAAGGCTATTGTTATATCAGTCTTGGACCTAGTCATAACTAGGTATGTTATTGAGTTAAGTTTCCAGAGCAAAGAGGCCCATCGTCTCTACAATTATTACCAGATCTATTCACGCTAAGTAAATTGACCAAGGTCAGCCGAGGAGCAAAGAGGCCCTGATTAGATTAAAATGCAGTAAGTCTTGTTAGTTGGGTAATTCGTATCCTGACAGGGCATGAATTACTCCTAAAGAGGTCATGAGATAGTGACCTTTCGACATCTGGAACATATCCAAGTATGGCATTTAGAGGGAAAATGAGTGTGCGTTCATTTGCAAAACGTATGCTGTATGGAACATTTTACTCTTCGGGGCATTTCCGCGATTGGTTGCTGTTGAAGCAAGGTGATCCATTATTATTGTTGTTGTGCAACTGAATAATAATTAATCTCAACCACATCTGTGTTTGTGTTTTATTGATGTCTCTCTGTGTTAACATTTAAAGTTGGTGAACCATTAATTGCACTAACACTATCTTTAAGTGCTATTATATGTCTGATGCAGGATAGGTGTTTTTCTCCGGTCATCGACGGCACTTTTCACAAGTAATTTAACTGGATTATCAATATGCTTTGTGCTATTCATCAGTTTGATAAAATCAATATTTTCCCATAAAGAGGGCAATTTGTGGAGCCTCTTTGCTGCCGCGTGTCACCTTTGTCATATGCCATATTTCCATTATGCCCCTTTATATATAGAGTCTATGTTATGAACATACAGGTGCACATATGTTTATGTATGCTCACGTTCACACAGGATGACATTGATTTTGATCAAAGCATGCGGTGATGTGACAGCGAGAGAGCTCATCATTTTCTGGCTGTTCCCCCAGATAAGGACCATAAAGAATCAACGGTAGGATAATGAACCTGGATGGCACACCTGCAGCTGGAGGAGCGGCTCCAAGGACAGCGGCGCAGCCTCTTCGCTCACACATCTCATTATAGGAGCGAATGGTTAAAGCTGGTGATTACAGGCAGGCGTCAGGGTGGAGACGAAGGACTGGATTTACGTGATTGAGCTTTTTTCGACTGACACGGGGGAGCTGGAAGGTCAAGAAGGTGTTCAAAACCTTGTTGTGGAGGCGGGTTCATACTGTGCTCCTAGAGTCCTGTGACCTGCAGTTGTTAAACATAGTTATGCACCTGTGACCCCAGCTGTTCGAACATTTTAATTGCAGGTTAACTTTTTGGGCACCATGTTGCAAAGGAATAATTTGTGACAAATTATGTGTCTGAGTCTAATTAACTCAATGTTAGTTGTTATAATAGTATGATCAATGCTATACCCTGAAAGAAAATCTCAATTTTGTTCACACTGTAGATGAGAATGCATGAGTGTGGATAGCTCAGCTAACTTGATAAAAAAAACATTGTGATTTGAATACAAATATTATGCACATATTGATTCAGCTGCATACGTTCATTCTGAGTGGGAACATAGTTAGAAAGCAGGAGTAGAAGTCTCAGGAGTTAGCTAAGATAATGTACAAAAGGTGAATTAGGAAGCTACTTTAAATGTAATGGATGTTGGTTTAAATGAATCAATAAAGAAGTACTTAAATGTATCTGGCCAGGCATCATGGCTGTAGATTAACAGTGGCCGATGACCCATTGCATGCACCTTACATTTGTTACTCATATTGATAAGACCTACATTTGTCAGCACAGTTAAGCAGACAGAAAGAGGTTGCCGGTATTGAGTGCAAAGAAATGGGTAATTAGCTGACGGCTGACTCAGGCCACTTGCTGCTTTGTGTGTCAGGTTGGGGATGGAAAAACCGATGAAGCACATCGCCCCGGGTGTCGTAAAGCTTTGCTTTATGGCCAGCTGGTGTAGCCTTGCAGATTAAGTTCAAAGAAAGACGGCCAATCTTTTCTCCATGCATCTTAAATCCTGTTTCTCCTCAGCTGGATGTATGGATCAATTCTTTAGTGCGCTGAGATATCCCTGGTGTCAGCAGCTATAGGGCTGCTACAGAAAAGATGGGGAGGACTGTGTGTCTAAAAATACATTATTATGGCGTTATTAAAGGGACAATTTCACCTCAGATTTAATAGTGCTCACAGAGCAGCATGACCGTTCCACTCAAATTGCATACTTTCCTTCATTCTGGAGTGGCTTTCTGCAGCGGAATAAGCATTAAAGCTCAAAGCTCCCAGTGGGCTTCAATTGCAGCCTCCATAGGAAGATGCAATGTTAGCATTTGAAAGGCAAGAAAATCACAGTCAATCAATGGTTCCTCCATGATTCATGCAATGAGTTCCAGCTCAAAAACTCCCTCCAGCATGTATCTCAAGAGAGCAGCTTTACAGGGAAATAAATGGGCTGCTGTCTGGAGATGGCAAGCTTCCTTTTTGTGTTTAGACACAAAGACCAGTTTCAAATGGAGGGACTGGCAGAGAACCTGCGGCTGGATTATTGTAACTCCTTATTATCAGGGTGTACCAAGAAGTCAGTCAAGTCGCTTCAGCTGATTCAAAATGCTGCAGCTCGTGTACTAACCAGAGTTAGGAAAAGGGACCACATTACTCCTGTTCTGGCTGCCTTACACTGGCTCCCTATAGAACACAGGATAGAATTTAAAATTCTTCTTCTCGCCTACAAAGCCCTTAATGGGCAGGCGCCATCTTACCTTAAAGAACTCATTATACCCTATTGTCCTACTAGGGCATTGCGTTCCAAGAATGCAGGGTTGTTGGTTGTTCCTAGAGTCTCTAAAAGTACAATGGGAGCCAGAGCCTTTTCTTATCAAGCTCCACTTTTGTGGAATCAGCTTCCAGTTTGTGTTCGGACGGCAGACACCCTATCCGTTTTTAAGAGTGCGCTTAAGACCTTCCTTTTTGATAAAGCTTATAGTTAGGGCTGATTAGATTCAGCCCCTAGTTTTGCTGATATAGGCTTAGTTTGTCGGGGGACATCTTACTTCTTCCTTCTCTCTGTCTATACCTGTGTACTCTCATGTTCCGATTAACCCAGCTTCCCCAAATGTCTTTCTTTTTGGTGTCTATATACGCCGGGATCCGGAGTCATGGATGATCCTGCGGTCCTGTGTCATGGATCGCGAGTCCTGGATCTTGAGTCGTGGCTGTGGTCCTGGATCACAAGTCCTGGATGGATATCCTCGTGGATTCATCTTCCTATTATACACACATGCATTTCCAAACATTTGGACTACCTATGTTGCAAATGTATTATCTTTTTAATTTACACACGGCATCTATTGCACGTCTGTCCGTCCTGGGAGAGGGATCCCTCCTCTGTTGCTCTCCCTGAGGTTTCTCCCATTTTTCCGTTTAAACTTTGGGTTTTCTCTGGAAGTTTTTCCTTGTACGATGTGAGGGTCTAAGGACAGAGGGTGTCGTATTGTCATACTGATATTCTGTACAAACTGTGAAGTCCACTGAGACAAATGTAACATTTGTGATATTGGGCTATATAAATAAACATTGATTGATTGATTGATTTGACATCCGACTGTACTTCACAGCAGTACATCTCAATGGTCCTGGCATTAATATTTTTAGGTTCAAAGTTAACCCAGAATAAAACACAGTGTGGTACATCCGGTCCTACAGACACATCTGCAGGATGGACATCTGGCAAAAGAACTAACCAAATACAGAGGGATTACAAGATAAAAGACAATACATTTGCAGTGTGTCTTTTTTCAGCACTAACACTCAAGCACTTTCTTCTCAGGATTGAATACATTAAAAAGAACACATCAAAGAAATGTGGTTTGATTTCATATGTATTACTTATGAATAATTTATTTTATAAAGGTTAGAAAATACAAACAGTATAGTAACACTGACACAACTGTTCAAACACATCATAACATTTGCACACTTGCATTGCAACAGTTTATCAGTATTTACAAGAAAACAAATGTTGTCATGGTCTCAACGTCTCAACATAGAAATTAGACCTGCTGTGCACTGCAGAAGATTTTCTACCAAAGACGTGACATTTTAATATTTTCCCGAAATGCATTAGAGACACTTGGAATGCAAGCCCTATTATTTTCTAAATAAATCCACTTCTGTCTCACCTTCAGGAACATCACTTACTTCACTCTGAAATGGTACCTAGGCTCTTTGAAGTATCTTATTTCTCACGATAAAAGTAATACTTCAAGCTCAAAACTACCTTTAGTAGCCTATATACTCTCCCCATGTTACCTTTAATTCTAGCATTAGCATTCGGCTCAGAGTTTTAAATGAATTATTTTATATATAGTTTTGCTGTTGTTAGACCCAATCGTCTTACTTTTTTGATTCTTTGTTCACATTCAAGGCGGGGAGAGAACGTTTTCTTCATAAATTCAATCTAGTATTTGTGACTAATTGATACACAAATGGTGATTTTGTGAGTGAAGCATTCCCTTGAACAATGATATAATGAGAACATGGCATCATGAAAACATGTTCCATCAACACAGCAGTACAGACCATATTCTGGATAATACCTTTCGCAGCATCACACTCGTTTGACATTTGGCACTTATATATTTAACAAAACCATAAAAAGTCATGTTGAATTACTTTATGGTAAAATAAGATAGATTACATTCATGTCTTCAGCATAGAGACAGAGGAAAGTCAGCTGGAATAAATAAATAAATAAACAAACAAACAAACCAACAAATCAATCTACTACGTGACTGGTTGAAAACTCCTGTGTTCCACTAAACTGTGAGACAGGTTTCTGAGATCGGCTGCAGAATGAACCTGCTTGTATCCCAGCAGCGCCAGAGTGTCATTGCACAGATTCTGCAAAGTCCTGACGATGTCAAAGCCCAGACGAAGCCTCCAGCTCTCCGCTGTTGCTCTGGAGTCTCTGTTGGTTGAGTACCTGTAGTTCCACTCTGACGGAGACGACACGTTACTGTTTGTGTTCTTTGCAATCCACAACCGCACCCTGTCCTCCATCTCCAGCCCCACAAACCTGTAGATCTCAGTGGCTTTGTCCTTCGGATTGAAGGCCAGGTCCTCATAGCGCACCAGCAGGTAGCGTCCCCGCAGCCATGCCGGTGTTTGCAGGCCTGTTGCCGTGGAGGCCGCCATGTCTTTGCAGGTGCTGGTGATCTGCGTCAAGTCCACGTACCGAGGCTGCCGTCCCGTTGCATTCCATATTTTCCAAGCGCGGAATTGATCAGAGAAAGCCATCATGCGCGACGCGAGGATAGCTCTGGGGTCTCTCACCAGGTGGATGATCTTCAGGTCTAAACGAGGATCTTCTGTCAGGGTGCGCAGGTCCCCCACCTCCGGGACCCGCACAGTCTTTATGGCTACATGTTCCTTCGAAAGACACGACATAGAGGCAAGGGTGAGGTTCAGGGCCCCACACTTCTTTGGACACCAGGCTTCATCCGGGGAATCCGAAACTGCTACATCCCCTGCTTCCATGCACACGGGAGGGGAGCAGAGGGCATGACTGGAGCTTCTGCGAAAGAAGGAGCTGGTGACGTGGTCCTGGGGCTCCGGGCGGATGTAATTCTCCATGAAGTGAAGATCGCAGGTGTACAGGTTGAGGAGGAGATCCCTGTATGCTCCCAGGAGGGATCGGCGGTCCAGGGTGCGACGCAGCCTGCTGCTGGAGTTGGTGAAGGCCTGCTGGACGTGGTAGAGAGGTTCAAACACGTAGAAGATCCCTGGGTGCTGATTGAGGAGCTGCCCGGTGAAGGAGGAGCCGCTGCGGGTGGTAGCGAACAGCAGGATGTGCTTCCGAGGCGAATCAACAGGCATCCAGCTGTCATCGCACAAGGCTCTCCACCTGGAGTCTGGAAGAAAGAAACAACAAATAAATGTGCTGAACATGTTTAACCCAATGTTTGCTACACTGACATCAATTGCATCATGTTTTTTCTTACAAAGAGGTAAATAAAAACTCTAAATCGCACACTAAACCACATGTTTTTCTCTTAGATTCATAGATTCAAGTTCTGGTTAAAGAGAGGGGTAACATTTTCTATGAAATACACTTCTATAGTGTATCATTAGGGCATCTTTAGTGGATTATCATGCATTTATGGTACTTTATCACTGTACTTGTTAACAATCATATTGCTTCTGATGCACAATTTCAACAAAACATGTGACTCCTCTTATATAATATAACTGTTTTATGAATATTCTTGACTAGTTATAGGTTGACCGATAGTGTTTATGAGCGTATTCATGATGCAGCATGCTATAGAAGTGGCATTCATAAAAAGCGTAACGAATAGGCTTTACCTTACTTATTTTGGAAGAGTTACTTCAGCTCATAAAAGTGAAAAATAATTGGTTTCCGTCATAACTCTAGTCCAGGAGAAAGTGAACTACTGAATCAAGCCAATAAAGCTTAAATAATTTAGAGGGTAAACATGCCTGAGTAAGTTGCTTGTCTGCCGGTGGTTACTGAGGGGTTTTATGAAATGGCGGATCTCTAAATATAGCGCAAATAGCTAACGTGTAATTACTGCTGATGAGGAGTTGATTGCAAAGGGGATGTTTCTTTCGTACACAGGAGCTTGGCGCTGGCAAACTACAGCGGCGCTATGAGACGGGATTAATGGAGATAAATTGGAGGATAATTGTAAAACGAATCACACATATTTCATTTCTTTATCCTCCCCACTTGTTGGGAATTCTCTCATTAAATGAACCGCTTTTTCTTTAGCTTTAGTCGCAGCTGTAATGCTGGCACGGATCCTCTATGCATCAGGTTTTCTTCTAAAATGATGTTAGTAATCAAATGTGTGTTTGTGCATGACCTCTGCAGGTGCCTCACAGGCAGAGGTGGGAAGTAGCTAAGTGGATTTACTCAAGTACTAAGTACAATTTTGAGATACTTCAATTCAAGTATTTCAATTGTATGCTACTTTGTACTTCTACATCACTACAATTCAGAGGTAAATTGTGTACTTTTAATACACTACATTTACTTTGTACCTTTAGTTACTTGTCAGATTAGGTTTAATGATGTGAAATATAATCGACACTTAAATAAGACTTTACCTGGAGAATATTCACAAGCTACCCTGCAGTATACAAAGTAATTCAAACTAGCTGCACCTTTACCAGCTTTGATAACACTTTAATGCATCTATAATTATAATCAAAAGAATCATGTAAAATATATTATTCTGAAATCTGCCAATCTGCAGCATGAGTTTTACTTTTGGTATATTTTAATAATAATAATAATTAATAATTCCTTACATTTATTATAGCGCTTTTCCAGATGCTCAAAGCTCAAAATAATATTTATGTAACTTTTACAAAATCATATTTTAGCATACACCATACAGCCACACACATCATGCTCTCCTGTAGTGAGGTATGTTTGGCCCTGTTGAATCTGGAGGCGTACCTCTGAAGTGCCTGCTCTGGCAGCGGTAGGGTCCCTGACAGGGCCCGGACAGCGAGTCCCTCAGGGTGCGGATGGCCGTGTACTGGACCCCCAGAGACGCACACACCAGCAGCAGCACCGTCTTCCAGGAGCACTCCATCCTGCCCCTCCCTCTGGCTCTACATCCTTCACGCTAATGCCGTGCAGGGAGGCACAAAGACACACACAATGAGATTTCCCCTTGATGCATTTTCTCAGCTTCATACATGCATGCAGCTCCCACTCCTTCTAGCCTGCAGTCCTCTACTGATAGCCAATGAACAGCTATTAGGATTACTGCTAAAGGGCACTTAGACAGTGGAAGGTAAAGTAAGTCACATTCATCCAGATTTCCCTTGCCAGTTAAGTTTGTCCTTACCTGGCAAAAAAAATGAAATGCAATTATGCAACATGTGTGCAGAGTATTTTGAATAGTGGAGTTATTTTAGATTTAGGGACACCATTTTCCAGTAGAAGTCTGATCTTCTGGTCATGTTTTTGCTGAACAAATATATTGAGCCTTTAAGAAATAAATCCTGTACTTATTTATTCAAAGCGTTTAAGCTACTTATGGTAGAAAATAAACAGCATGTGTAACAGGGCTTTTTCTTTAGTTAAGCAAAAACAATCATTAGAGCAAATATAGGAATAGGTCAATATTTTTTGAAATATTCTTTCTTACTGAGAGTTTAATGAAAAGATTGATAATCCTCGCATGTCTGTACCATAAATATAAAATTACAGCTAGCTGCCAGTTAGCTCAGCTTATCTACATTTAGCGTAAGGACCTTAAACATGTCAAAACAGTTAGCTTTGCTCTGTTGCTCTGTTGCTCTGTTAAACTCACTCAAATGACATTTATTTAAACGATACAAAAACAACCATGAATGTTTGTTTTTTGGATGTCTATTTGAATGTTTAAATAAACTGTCTAACCTGACTAGCTTGGTCTCGTAAAAATTACATTTAAATTCCATGAAAATGCATTGTCAATTAAGTTTTGAGGGAAATACATTGCTCCTGGACTACATTTGTTTTTTTGTAAATCCCAAATACATTTCTAGGCAGAATGTGTCCCGTGTGAAACAAAAAGTAATCTTTGACCTTTTTTGTCAAGCTAAGTAACCTGTTGCTGGTTGTAGCTTCATAATAGTTAGGAAGGTGAACAAAAGATAATTGACCAAATTGGTCCTTGATAGCACATGTGCTTGTGTTTCCTGAAATGTGCAGATTTGAGGAATGGTTTAGCTCTCTTTCTCCAAGCAGAGCAAACTGCTTTGAACATTTTTACCATAAGTAGCTTAAACGCTTTGAATAAACAGGTACAGAATTGATTTCCTAAAGGCTCCATAGATTTGTTCAGCAAAAACATAACCCAAAGGTCAGACCTCTACTGGAAAATAGTGTCCCTAAATCTAAAATAACTCCACTGTTCAAAATACTCTGCACACATAATTGCATAATTGCATTTCAGTTTTTGCTTTCCTCTCTTCTGTAATTAAGCCTCTAAGCCCAGCAGAGAGCTACAAACCCAGATAAATATAGCTGTCTTCACTTAGATGAGTGGAGAAGTTTCCTTTGTACACGTACGAGTTGTTTGCAACTGGGTATGAAAGAGCAAAGGGAGATGTGATTTTCCAAATGGATTTAAAAAAAAGGTGTACTGCCATTCATTTGTCCCTATGCACCAAACTGATGGTAGGTAATCACACCAGATCTGTGGGCGCCAAATGTGTTTCCATCACTCACTGAGGCAATCATCATCAAAACCACAGGTAAATATATATCATATTGCTGACTAAATATTGCCTTCCTGTTTGCGTCCTCTCACCCTCTCTCTGTCACTCTGTCGCTCTCCAGTCTGCCTCTTGTTCATTAATGATGTTTATGTGTCCCTGGCAGACTCATGTCCTCAGGAATGTATCACACTGAGCTCAGATCAGCTTTTGATGTTCCATTAATCACAAACAACGCAAAACCAAAGATATTTACTCTGTGGGTGAGGGGAAAATAAATCTACATCATGAGCCATTCTGTTTGAGTACTGCTAAAAACAGCAATCGCAGACTGAACCCATCAGGGGGAGAAACTGTGTTAGTTGAAGACAGGATGACAGGGACACTGTGCTGTTTGTCTCTTACTTCAGAGTACATTTAAAGCTGCTCAGTCTATTTGTGCGCTCACTTGAAGGACAGAGAAGACGTATGATAAACAGAGATACAGAAGATCAAATGACTGCTGATAATGTAAAACTTGGACCAAGCTTCTCTGATACTTTAGGAAAAGATGTTGAAAATCTGTCAATTTGACAGTCCTGCCATGCAAACCCTATGTGATCTGCACAGCTGGCTGACCGAGGCACAACAGATGATTCCTCAGCGACAGGTTTTGTTTTCCTTTCCAGTCATGATCAGGGCTCAGTGCCTCCTCGCACACCCTGCTGCCCTCTGGAGACAGAGGACAGATGCTTCAATGGATTAAAGCAATTTGATTTGCAAGTCCTCCTTTCTCCCTGGCATATAATTCCCCCATCGGCACTCACACCAGGAATAAAAGACTCCCTAAGAACATCTGGAAAGGGAACTCAGGCTTCAGATGGCCCCAGCTTTTGTTTTCCTCAAACAGTAAAAGTGTTCAGAGGATAAAAGCCTCGGGGAAAGGATCAACTAAGGATTACACTGTGCGGTGCCACGCCTCCTCTGGCAGGTTGAGTTGTACATGTTGGCGTCACTGCTGCTGAGATAACATAGCTAGCAGCAAAAGTGTTGGAGGTAATGACATTTGGGCATGGTGCGGGGAAGGCAATTGCCTCAGTCGAAAATAAAGGCAACAAATGAGGTTAGAAGTTAGTGATGAGGGTGGGACTGAGGGATTTGGGATGCAAGTGATTGAGGGATGTGACAGTGCCAAAGATTTTTCTATTAAGGCACCTTAGTGTGTTCACAGATCCTCTGAGTGAGGCGGTTTATTGGCAAAGCCTGATGATCAATCCTGGGAAGCACAGAGAGTTGAGCAACAGTAGCAACGCCAGGAGGAGCTTCAAGTCCTCAGTCACTCATCCATCTTTTCCCCTTCTCGTTCTCTCTCTAAACCACCTCACACACACAAATATGAATATGCGAGAGTGCCACAGGCGGAGAGCAGAGCTGCTGCTGTGCGGAGAGGAGCTGCATCTGACCCCGGGCTACAGAGGAGCGCTGTGATCGGGGAGAAGATGAATCTTGTTCTACATGATTCCCCCAGCACACACACCGACACACCAACACCGACACACACACACACACACACACACACACACACACACACACACACACACACACACACACACACACACACACACACATACACACACACACACACACACACACACACACACACACACACACACACACACACACACACACACACACACACACACCTCTTTTGATCATAAAAGACGTCTTTGATTTGGTCCCAAGTGCTGTACCCAAAAGTCTGTATGTTTTCCCAAAAGCAGAAAAATCATGAAAAACTCCAGGTTCCTAAATTACTGTCACTCAAAGAGTTTCTTTCTCCTCTTCTCTCTCTCCCGTCTCAATTCACCTCTCTTCCCGCCAGCCCCGCAGTCTCCGACCCTTTCCTTCCTCCACCAGCAGCAATGGGGGCTTTCTCTTGTTTCCTGGTGCTGGCGCTGCTGGATAAACACAACCTCCCCCTCGTATAAAGGCTCAATTCTTCTCCATCATGTTTAAATATGGATACAAAGAGAAACTTGTATGATAATTTTTGGCATATGGTGGTGGGGGTCAGCGGGTGGGGTGTGTGTGTGTATAAGAGAGGGGGTGGGGGGGAGCAGGCTAGACAGAGTTCTGCCTTGTTCTGATACTTGTCTAAGATTTCGAGGTTTTTTGTTTTATGCAAGACCAGACCAATGCCATCTGACACAGAGTGCGTGACTGAGCAGCAGTTTGTGTTTGAGCGTGCCTGAAAATGTGAGCTTTAACAAACTCCCGCCAGTCGTATGTGATGATATGATAAGTGCTGGCAGGGTATGTTGCAGCATAATGCAGCTCTGTTTTGTAATTTGGGTGGCATGTGAACACAGACAAACAAAGTCGTAATTGGAGAACTCAAATGAAGGGGATCACTTCCCCTCTCCGATGTCCTGTCTGCTATCTTTCATCTTTGATTTTGCGATGGAGTAATGGAAAGGGAGGCAGAATCTGGCTCCTGGGTTGGAACATGCCGGAGATGACACAGATACCCAGGATGATACAGATGGCCTGCTGATAGCCTGCAGATCACCTTACTGCCCCCGTGCCAAGAGCAGCACAGGCTTCTGAGGAGAGGGATGATTCCCTCCATGGATGCTTCAGAGGCTGCAACAGCTTCCAGTTATAGAACATACAAAGCTTGTATAATGACCATTTGCCTCTCAATAACTCACCCTGTGTAACCTTGAATTGTTAAAACGAAAAAATTCAAAAACAGAAAAAAGTCTTGATCAATTTAAGTAAGTAAATGGGGGCAGCTTTTAACAACAGCAAAACTAGGAGAAGATGGGTACTCTCATTCAGGTCATGCAATATAATCATTGTCGGTGAACACATGTACTGTAACTACTCCTTTGCACTTTCTTGTTGGATGCAAGCTGAATTTCGTTGTTCACGTACAATGACAATAAAGTTGAATCTAATCTCATGTATGAAGTCATATTTTATTATTTCATAAAATATGTACAATTTTAGCAAGTTTTTATATTGTCCTGTTCCTGTAAGCCAGTACAACGAAATTTCGTTTTAATAGTACACTCTGTGTCTTGTTGAAATGACAATAAAGTATGTCTAAGTCTCTAAGTCTAATATTTTTACTCCTTCGCAAACACATGCATTGAACCTTATGTAATACACTCCAGTTTGAGATAGAGAGTGTTTTAGTAAGTATAGTAAGGATTTAGCATCGAGCATTTAACTGAATTGAATAGACTTGGTTTCTACACGAGTTGTGTGATATAGTTTTGCTGTCATTTAAGGAGCTCCTTTTAACTTGTTAATCCCCAAGGTCCCCGCCGGCGGGTACTTTACTTTTTTTTTTCACGACACTGTGTCTCAGGGGATCTTAATATTTAAGAACCTATTAATGTGTTATACCAGATTAACGGGAATAATCTCAGCTAACTGACGATACA